AGTGCTAACTACACTGTGTGGGAATATTTGCTAATAGGCTAAAGATTAAAACGCTTCATTCATTATGTTATTAGTTTCTCTTATTATTGACAAAACAGCTAAACAATTCAGAGCTTCTAGGAGGCTGTAGGATCTATAAAAACTCACCATGACAGGAGACGGCTCTTCTCTGGATGATTGATGTTGGTAGATGTGATGGAAATTAAGTTTTAAAACATATTCAATAAATTAATAAGATAAGTAATAATAAAAGAAGAACATCCCTGAGGTTTCTCCTCCATGAATCCAGGATAACTGTTCTGCTCATCCTCTCTGAATGCGGTTGGTCTTTTCTTTAGTGGCTGATCTTTTAAAAAATAAAATGCTTCTTTTTCTATTTGTGGAGCTTCTATTGGTTTTGAGATGCAAACCTGGAAGCTTTAAGAATTCAAATATTTGTGTCGGTTTGATTACTTCTAAATTCGAACAGCAGATTATTAAACTACACTGAGCAATAATTATTTAACCTGGACTAAAACTGGGACTAAAACAGCAGCAGATAAAGAGAAACCAAACCATTGGATGTGATCTTGCACTCAGGCTCCACAGCAATCATTTAATCTAGCTGCTGTATTTTTTATTCATATTTACTAAAGCACTAGATGCTTAAAATCTTCAATAATTAACAAAGAGAATGATCCTAGTGCAGATGAGACGAGATAAAAATTAAAATGAAATCCCTCATAACAATGGTCTTTGTTCAACAGTGAACAGGTGGGAATACGGACTGGATCTGAACCTGGCATCATGTGTTAGCACTAAGGTTGCATTAAAACGCGGACTGGATTTTGATCCCCGTGGTATTTTATACATAAATAAGTGGAACAGAGTTCAGTAATTTTTTACTGTTAGACGCTGAGATGGGTGAGTCAGTCTCACTCCCACAGGGTGAGAGTTAACAGTCCTGCTCAGGTGTCATCGATGATGCTGTAACTTTACAAACAACATAAAAAATCAATTTAAAAGCAATAAGGTTTTCTCATGGAGAATAAACAATGAAACAATCATAACAACATAAACTTTTTCTCGTTTTCCTCATTAAATTGAAGGGTTCATAGAAATAGGCTTTGCAGCAGCATCTTCATTGAAGGATAAAAGGTAAAGGTCTTCACTGGAAGCCTCACATGGAGGGAGAATGCAGCATGCTGCCCTCTATCGAGTAAAGCGTGTAACTGCAATATTGATCCCACCTAAACAGCAGGCTGAACATTGGTTCCACCCTAAACCATTTACAGAGGCCCCTAAACCTGCATTTTAACCATAGATTGTCTGATTTTCTTAACTCAACATTATTTTTAACATATTTTTTTGTAAATTAAATCTATGAAATCAACATAAACAGCATAACTGCTCCTGATGCAGGAACATGGAGGAAACATCTGGGCTTTCCAGCTGCTGCCAGCAGTTCAACGTCTTCACATTAGCTGCAGGGAGAACTAACNAGTGCTAACTACACTGTGTGGGAATATTTGCTAATAGGCTAAAGATTAAAACGCTTCATTC